GATGGATGAACAGAGTCCTCCCCGGACGCCGGCCATGGACGGAAGAGAAGGGGAGAAGAAGAAGGAAGGAAGTTGTCTTCTGTGATCTCTGACCTTCCTCTGAGCTTACGTAGCTCTATGGAATGGAATATCTTGGGCCAATTTTGCTGTCCGTCTAACTCAGCCTCCTACAGGGGGGTCACAGATCTCCCCATAGTGTCTGAGCCGGCAGAGTGCAGGTGCAGCCTTGAAGCCTCAGTAGTTAGAAAAACATTTCACTGTCTTATCAGCCTAGCAGAACACACTGTTGCTAGTTACAAGAAAACTTACTGAAGGAAAAAAAAATCAGCAAAAAGAAAAATTGGCTTCATCCTGGCTCAAACCAGGACACTAGGCAATGGACAATGAATGCCCTTATAAAGATTTTATGAGTTCTAACAATGAAATAAATGAGTTATAACAACAATTAACATTAGCAATATAAATGGGTATTATTATGTCATACTGATTTGGTAAGGCATTACTAAATTTACAAAGGTAACAGAATGAGAAATTATGAAGGAGATGCATGATGAAGGAGAAATGGAATAAAGTTGCTAGGTTCTGTTCCCATGCCTTAAAGTAAGAGGTGAAGATAGTGTATTGGTTTAGACTGGGATAGAGTTACATTTCTTCATAGTAGCTTGTATGGTGCTATTTTTTGAATTTGTGATGAAAAAAGCATGGATAGCCTTTGAATTATAGCAATGAATGCTTTAGTTATTGCTGAGCAGTGTTTACACAGCATCAAGGCCTTTCAGCTTCTTACACTGTCCTGACAGCAAGTAGATTAGGTGGGCAAGAAGTTGGGAGGGCACACAACTGGCTCCAACCGACCCAAGGGTCACCCCACACCATATGACATCATGCTCAGCAATAAAAGCTGTGGGGCTAAACATCTGCTGATGGCATGTAGATAATTAATTTCTTATTTTGCTTTGTTTATGTACACAGCTTTCACTTTACCTATTAAACTGTCTTTATCTCAACCCATGAGTTTTCACACTTTTACCCTTCTGATTCTCTTTCCCATCCCACTGGGGGAGAGCATGTGAGGGGCTAAGTGCTTAGCTGCCTGCTGTGATTAAACAACAGTAGGCAGGTAAATAATATTTACAGATGTAGTTTCTGATCTATACCCTTACAAAAGGACAGCGTCAAGATTATGTATGACAGCATCATGAAAGCAAGTATGAAGCTTCAACACTCACTACTGTGCTATCTCACAAAGTGGCTCATAATATTTTTGTAACGGTAACAAATGAAAACCAACACAGCATCAATGCAGAAGTCAAATGATACCTGCGTTTGTAAAGCCTTTGCTTCATTCTTGTAGAGCCGGGTAGTGAGTGCAAATGTAGCATCAGACACAGTTGGCTTGCTTGGTCCCATCACATTAGCTTGAAGCTGAAAATCCATTTATTTGTCCTTTGAACATAAGAATAATACACTATTTCTGCTTCTTAAAAGCAATCCCAGATCTGATGTAAATAACAGATAGAAAACCAATGTAAGGAAGGATGCAGAAATGGAAAACGTCACATGTATACTCATACAGGGGTATGCAAAATGCAGAGTACAGTCCTGCTGTTTAAGGCAAAACGTACAAGTTTTATCCTTCTTTTACACATGCCCACAGAGACCTGGGGAGCACCACGGCAGACAGTGAGGCTCACACTGTAAGAAGACTGCCGCAGACCTGTTACAGCTGTTACTTACCTAAAAGGGAACAGCATACTGCAACGATAACACCAGAAAACAGGCTCACAAGATAGCCCAAGGCAGTGGGTCTGTACAAAAAATGTTAGTGTGAAAGGAAAACATATCAAGGGCATGCTCATACCTAACATCCTCATAGAGAAACATCTGAAAGCAATGTGTGGAGACTGTCAGAAACTTACACCTTCTCCATCTGCCTCTGAGAATTAAAAAATGAAGAGGACCCGATGCGCAACGCTGT